TCAAGAATTTTCATTTCCTTCTCGTAATTCCGTTCCGGTCATTCCGAAATCTTTGGAGCTATTATAATTCATCAGCCGTAGTGCCACAATGTAGTATCGTCGTCATGGCTAACTCTCCTCATTGAAGCATGTCAAAACCACTCGTTAAATTGATAGTCCCAGGTCATAATGTTATAACTGCAGCCAGTCATTTGTTTCAAGTAGTTGTTGATCGACCACTGCTAAGTCCGTACAATGTTGTGTCGGCAAACTCGCCCACTTCCACATCTTTCGAGTGCAAGTACACTACAACGCCAAACCGATCGTGAATGATTCCCTGCCTCATCGCAGAACGGGCATCGACCTCGCTGCGATTATCAAAAATCAACTTTACCATCTCAAATGTTGCCAGTAGCAGCAACCTTCGACAACGTATCTTCCAAACAGCCTTCTGTGTGATTAAAATGAAGCCACTTTACCACGCTTAAGTGGTCTCTCATAGCAGCAGATGCCATCGTAGTTGCAGCCTTCGCTTCGGTTATAATGGAGCCACTTCACTACGTCCAAATGACCATAACTTGCAGCCCAGTCCATCGCAGCAGGCGTACAGCCTTCTGTTGTGTTGGCATGAAGCCATTTTAACACTTCGAGACAGCCGCCATAGGAAATAGCTAACTTTGTGCAGCCCTCATCCCGATGAGTGTGCAGCCACTTTAGTATTTCTAAATGACCTCCACGTGCAGCTCCACCCATGGCATTGGATGAACACCCTTCAGAACGAAACTCATGTAGCCATTCCACTACTTTTAGAAATCCATTTGCTACTGCCTTATCCATCGCTTGTGCTGTGCATCCTTCAGTACGATGGACATGGAGCCACTTGACGACTTCAAGATGGCCATTACCAGCATCGCCTTATGGCTACAACCTTCGTCGCGGTTGTCATGAAGCCACTTCACCATATCAAGATGGCCACCCTTCGCTGCACTATCCATTATCCAACAATCGCCTCATTCGCACTTCTTATCGTGAAGCCACTGCACGATATTTAGATGTCCACTTTCCACCGCTCTTCGCAGAGCTTCAACAGTCAAAGCAACTTGCGTCTCATAATGTAGCCATTTTACCGTATCCAGGTGTCCATTTGAAGCTGCAGCTAAAAAGCGTCGACCTACGTGGCTTTCCTAGCCCCTGAGAGTACGCATACTTCAAGAGCGACAATGCTCCACTCGCAGCAGCTCTATCCCATTCGACTCGACGTACTGCGAGGTCACAGTTCACAAGAATCCATCGCGCAGTCTCCCAATGTTCCTCTTTTTGGGCATCAAGTAAAGCATATTCAGCAGGAGCATGGCACTCATTGTATAGCCACCGAACTGCTGTTGTATTCCCCGTCTTTGCAGCAGATGGCATGAATGCGTCATAAGCCACTGCACAGTCTCATCATGGCTATAATCCAATGCTCCGCACATCTCGACACAGTTCCAGTAGGTCTGTTCGCGATGGTCTTCGAGCAGCAGCGTAAACTGCGGCACCCAATCGCTCACCCGGCAGATAAACTTCTATTAACCACCGAAGTGCCCGTTGATCTCCTTTTATTGCAAAAAACCATGAAGTTGCATTGAGCATTGTCAATGATGTGTCCTAATTGGTGACATAGCGTACAAGTTATTGTACAGAATGTCTTACCATACAAAATATGTTCTGGACCCAATCCTGCATAAGTCGATACATCACCTTTTACAGGAAAGATAAATCAATGGTGCCAGGAAACTCTCTGAAGACAGACTCATAAAATTCAATCACATCTCTTTTTTCTTCCTTCTACTCAAGCTCCTCCACCTTCCTCGCCTCACCTTCAATAGGTTATGAGCTCAACGCAAGCCTCCACCGCTGACGACCGCGAGTTTCCGCGCCTCAATGGCCGGAACTTCATCATCTGGAAGACCCGCGTCACTGCCGCCCTCGAAGGAAAGAACCTTCTCGGCTACGTCGAGCGTATCGACTACACCGGTGACTCCGACTACGAGTTCGACTCCGATGAAGAGCTCAACCCGGCACTGTCCGACATGAACGACATGTCCGCCGCGCTTGATGCTGCCGGTGCTCCCAAGGCCGACGAAATAGTGGGCTCCTCACCGAGCGAGTCCTCCTCTGATGCCAGCTCCGCAAGTTCGGATGCACCCACAGCCGGAGACGACGGCGATGTGGAAATGGGGCAGGAGAATCCCCCCGTTATCCAGTCATTCACTGCTCAGAAGCGGGATGAACTGAAGCGAGCAGAGAAGCTGAAGGCTAAAAGCCAGAGGCTGAGCTCGAAAAAGCTTCGACTCAACGAGGCAAAAGCAAAAGCTTTCCTTATCAAGACCATCGATGACCAACATGTTCTCATGGTCAAGGACAAGACTACTGCGTTTGAGATCTTCCAGACGATCTGTAGCAAGTACGAAGGTGCTGCCATCCACGGCGACCCGTATCATGTGCTATCATACCTGATGGCACTGAGGTATGAAGAAGGTTCAGACCTTACGGGGTTCATAATTGACATCGAATCTGCCATGAAGGTTGCCTCCGAAGCCACAAACAGTGTGCTCAGTGACGAACAGAAGTCACTCTACTTGTACCATGCGCTACCTGGAAAATGGAAGCAGCAACTATCGGTCTGGAAGGGTAGCAGGAAATTCATTCCCTACGAAGAGCTAAAGCGTCACATCGAGGCCAAGGTGCAGCATGAACTGGCGAAAAACCGCTACACGCTCAAACAAGGAACACCCGAATCGAGGGAAACCCGAAACGAGCAGGCCCTACAGGCTTTAGCACCTGAACCAACCTTGGTTCAAGCTCCCTATCAAGAGAGCAAGGCTCTCATCTCAACGATGAGCTGTACATACTGCCTGCGCACCAACCACGATACTGTCGACTGCTATGTTCTACAGCGCCACCTACAAAATGGTCAGGTAAAGGCAGGAACGGTGCTTCCCGCCAACTTTAAGCTGAAACCTTCGTCCAATCAAGCTCGACAGCATCCTTACAAGGACGGTTTCGGCGGCAAGTCACGAAACCAAAATCGGAATGACTACAAGAGCAAGCGGAACAGCAATCGAAACAGAAGCCAGAACGGCAACCAGAAGAATACATCTGGAAAATCCAAGAGTCACAATAAATTCCACGGTCGCCGCAAGGACACCGACACCGACAACGAGTATGGAATCATAGCCATCACCACTCTGGACCTCAGACAAGAAACAGAGGCTGTAAGTCTCACCGCCCAAGATGCGGAGCATGACCCAGTGTGGACTGTCGACTCAGGCTGCACTCGCCACGCTACGTCCAATCCGAAGTGGTTTGAGAAGCTGATCCCAAGTGCTGGCAAGTCAATCACTGTCGGCGGCAATCACCAGATTCCGATAAAAGGAACTGGTGATGTCAAGATGACAATCAAGGACACGAAGGGAAAGGAACGAGAAATATCCTTGGCCAACGTGCTATATGCGCCCCAGCTGAAGTTCAACCTACTCTCCGTGCGCCAAGCCGTCGAAGATGATTTCAAAATCAACTTCCCCAACGCCAAGAAGTGCGTTCTGTTCTTCGCTAGCCGAACCAAATTTGAAGCCAAAATTGGTGAAGGGACTCGACTCTACCAGTTTCAAGCGATCCCGGCAACCTCAAGTCAGGTAGCCCATGTGGCCACTTCAGGTAAGCCTGATAATGTGTTACTTTGGCATAAACGAATGGGTCATCCTAACTTTCGCATTATGCAGGATCTGGCTAAAGCCAACACTGTCATGGACATGGGCCTGAAGGACTTTGATTCCAAGAAAGACTACTTTTGCTCTTCCTGCACATACGCCAAGGCCCATCGTAACCCATTCAATAAACATACCGTTGAACGGGCAAAGTTCCCTCTTGAAAAAGTTCATTCTGATATGGCTGGTCCATTACCCGTCCCCACACTCTCGGGGTGTCAATATTTTCTGACCTTTATAGATGACTACTCACGGTACATGTTCATCTACATCATCAAGCGAAAGTCTGAGCTGTGCGAATGCTATGAAGATTTTCGCAAGAAAGCACAAAACGTTTTTCGCGCTGATGTAGGCGAACTCCAGTTCAATGAGAACATACACGATGAAGAAGTTAGACATCTTCAAAGCGACAATGCCCGAGAATATGAGAAACTTGGAAAAATGATTTTTCAGAAGTACAATACGCACGCACAATTTACAAATGCGTACACGCCCCAGCAAAATGGAGTTGCAGAGAGGCGCATGCGTACACTACTCGAGCGAACCAGGGCTTTCCTCATTGATGGTAACCTACCGCAGGTTCTTTGGGGAGAATGCGTCAAACACGTTGCTGACCTTCTGAACATTACTCCCAGCTCGGTAACCGATAAGGTCACCCCATACGAGAAATGGTTCAAGCGAAAACCATCCGCGCACTACATCAAAGTGTTTGGGTGTACTGCGTACGCTCACATCCCTGAGATACACCGCACAAAACTAGAACCACGTGCTAAGAAGTGCATGTACTTAGGACTCCCATCAAACAAAAAGGGATATAGACTCCTTGACACGAAAGAAAACCGTGTTATCTACAGCAGGGATGTTGTGTTTAGAGAAGACGAGTTCCCACACTTGGAATTCCTCAATACACCCGCAATCTCGGACCAAAATGGCCCCGCACCGACGCTATCACCGTCGCTACCAACACCACAATTGCTACCTCCAATAGCCTCACTACTAAAACGCAGCGTCAATGCGCTTGCCGCGGAAGTAGTAGTAAAGATGAAGAAAGTCAAACACAAAACGAACGCTCAGAACGAGAATGAACACTCGTGTCTACTTGATGATCCACTCGACATTAACGAACGAAAAGAGCACCTCACTCATATCTACGCTCTATTGGCTATCAGACACATATCTGAACCAAAGACGTTCCTAGAATCCCAGAAACTACCAGAAGCACAACACTGGGAGAAGGCAGCCATTTGTGAATACAAATCATTGATTGACAACAAAACGTGGGTCCTCACAAAACTACCGACAGGGAGAAGGGCCCTACAGTGTCGATGGGTATTCGTTGTAAAATACAATGGAGACGGCAGTATTGACCGCTATAAAGCTCGCCTGGTAATAAAAGTTTTTTTGCAAAAGTATGGCGTTGACTACGATGAGATATTCTCTCCAGTGATCCGCATGGAAGTGCTGCGACTTTTACTGACGATTGCAGCACTCCTTGACCTTGAGATCCATCAAATGGATGTTAAAACCGCTTTCCTGAACGGATACCTCGATGAGGAAATTTACATGCTGCAACCTGAAGGGTTTACTGTTCGTGGAAAAGAGCACTTAGTCTGCAAGCTTTTGAAGAGCCTATATGGTCTCAAGCAGGCACCTCGGATCTGGTATCTTACCCTGTGCTCTTTTCTTCTCACCATGAAATTCCACAAACTCATCAAAGACCAATGCGTTTTCATTGGAGTTGTGGATGGAGCTACATGCTACATTCTAGTCTATGTGGACGACCTCCTCATCATAGCCCCTACGCTTGATATCATTAACAACATAAAGAACGCTCTCAAGCAGCGCTTCAAAATGTCTGATCTCGGTGAAGCTCAATACATCTTAGGCTGGTCAATCGTGCGCAACCGTACGGACCGAACCATTTTCATCCACCAAGAGAAGTACGCTACCAAAGTCCTGGATCGCTTCTCTCATCTTGATGCACACCCGGTTGGTACACCCGCTGATCCCAGTGTGAAGCTGACGGAGGCCATGTGCCCCCAAACGCCAGAAGAAAAACATGAGATGAAAGCGATCCCGTACAGAGAGGCAGTTGGTAGCTTCATGTACTTAATGATGGGAACTAGACCTGATCTCGCATATTTTCTACGAGAAGTCAGTCAATTCCTGGTGAACCCAGGAAAACCTCACTGGAATGCCGTTAAGAGAGGATTGAAGTACTTAAACGGTACGCGCAATCTTGGCATCACCCTTGGTGGAAAGCAAAATCTAGAGCAGTATAAGTCAAAGCATTATCTCACTGCATACTCCGACGCAGACTACGCCAATTGCCCAGAGACACGACGATCTGTGGGAGGCTATATCGCATATATGTGTGGAAGCCCAATTTCATGGCAATCGAGAAAGCACCACACCGTAGTTCTGTCCACAACAGAGGCAGAATACATAGCCCTATGTCACTGCATGCAAGAAGTTATTTTCTTAAAGCTTCTTTTAGTAGAGCTTAAACACGAAAGCTCACATGCTATCACCCTATTTGAGGACAATCAAAGTTGTATTAAACTTTCCTACAACCCAGAACTGCATGGCAGAAGCAAGCACATTGACATTCGGTATCACTTTGTACAAGAAAAAGTAGAGCGAAAAGAATTTGAAATTATGTACTGCAACACCAAAGAAATGGTAGCAGACATTTTTACAAAAGCACTATCAAAACCCCTTTTTATAAATCTAAGAGGGTCACTATGTAAGACACTTATACAAAAATAAGAAAAAGAAAAAAAAGGAAAAGAAAAATACTAATCGATATGTAAAATTTATACAGCAACAAGTTTTGTTAAAAGTAAATACGTATTATTTAAATCTTAAAGATTAGCACGAGGAATGTCCTCAATTGAGTACACACCATCTACTGTCTCAAAGAAACTTGTCAAAAGCTCCTCCCGGTTAGGGAAGAAGTGATAGGTGTCGGAATCGATGAACACAAACTTGTTACCAACCCAGGCACGAGCGATACAATGCCATGTACCTGCTCGTTGCCCAGGCCGCCTACCTATAATCAGCAGAGCCGATTTTCGACTCCGCACGATGGAGGCAGGTCGCTTGGGTCTGCTCTTGAACCCCGACTTTGTGTTCAGATAAATCAGCTGTTTGCGCCGCTTCTGCAAGCCCTTCTGCAACGCATCCATAGTGTAGGCACCGTAGCGTGAATGTCCATGATCCACACTTGGGCTCACCTCTACCAACCGAGCCAAAATAGGCCGCAACATGGCTGGGGTGATAAAATCCCTAGTTTGAAGAGCGTTGCTGATCGATAAGAGACCGCACATTGAGTACCGGTCCGACAGCATCTCTTGATGTTGGCACAAAATTGATGTGCGAAGACTGACAGGCATCTGTGTATACAAAAGATAGTATATTAGTACTGTGCAAATCACATGAACCATAGCAGCAAAATATTGATTGCAGTAAATCAATATGACAAAACCCAAGGTTATTGAGACCAGTGGAGACGATTCGCTACCGAGTGAAACAAGTTCACTCAGAGCTAGCCCAGACTATAGCGTCAGGCGCGCATCGCACTAAGTCTCGCTCCCTTGAGGATTGCACTTGATCAACACCTTCAATACTTGCATGCAAATCAGAAGAAAACCGCACCTGTGCAAAAGTTGAAAGATCAGGAAATGAACACTTAATGCACTCAACGAGAACGATACGGAAGAGAAAGCAAGCGTATTTCACTGATACTTAAACTGCACGACGGTAAAGAACTTTGCGACCTTCGGAAAGGTATAGACATACTTTCTAGCAACTCACTACCGCAAGAAACAGTCGATTATCCTCGAAGTAGTAATTTAAGTCAAAGTCCTCAACGTCTTGAATGCAAATCAGCTGCACCATCTGGGATAAGAACTGCCCCCAACTTGGGACACAGAGAGGCTGTCAATGATGTGTCCTAATTGGTGACATAGCGTACAAGTTATTGTACAAAATGTCTTACCATACAAAATATGTTCTGGACCCAATCCTGCATAAGTCGATACATCACCTTTTACAGGAAAGATAAATCAATGGTGCCAGGAAACTCTCTGAAGACAGACTCATAAAATTCAATCACATCTCTTTTTTCTTCCTTCTACTCAAGCTCCTCCACCTTCCTCGCCTCACCTTCAATAGACATTGCCGACGCAAATCCTGTCGATCTCATCGATGGGACCGTTGGCCACGCTGAGGTTGCGAACATCGGTGGAATCCCCGCAGACGGAGTCGAAGCCACCGCACGTGCACCGTTAGCAGCGTTTACCCCACTATTCACCACTCCCCCATTTCCAGTTGACCCTAGAAACGTAAATCCATCGCCAGTATACCCATTCGTATTCAGAAGATGTAACAAGGTCTCCACTAGCCGTCATGGCAGCCGAACTGCCCGCAGCTGACGCCGCCCTACTTGACGTAGCCATTGTATACCCACGAAACTCAAAGATTGTACTCTGTAAAGCTTCAAAGCCTTGGGCTCATAACCTGGCACGTTGCGCAGGCAATCAGTAGGGCAAGGAGCAGCTTAGATGACGGAAAGCAACTAGAGAACGTCTTCCCACGGAGCACTTTGGGATTAAGGAGGAAACCTCGAAGGTGACAACCCCCTTTGCTAGCACTATACACTAACGGGCGTATACTTCCATCTGCAACTGTACAGTCCCAGCTGTATACACAGCTACAATAGGTATGCACAGTAACACGACCTTCGTCGCAATTTCGATACACTACTGTACTACTTTTTATTTAATCATTAAAATTTCAAAACCGGTATTTATACTTGTTGAAAATTGGTGCTAAGGAACAAACTTCTTGTTTTCAACCAATCAGATAGCATGCATCATGTTTTGTTCACTCATTTCTTGTCATGACGCCGGCGTCATGCAGCTGGGACCAATGCCGCCGCCTTGCTAGCGTACTAGCCGGTCTGCTGCTCATGGGGAGCGTGGGCTCGAATCATTCAATCTCGGTCTGGAATACACAGCTGCAGGCGTTGCCGGGTTTCTCCGAGGCGGGTATCTCTTTCGTTTGTTCTATGGCCTCTTTTGGTGCCTACTTCTCGGTGAGTCCCGGGTTCGTTTTCGACCACATCGGCGCCCATCGCAGCGTTTTATTGGGCGGATGTTTGCTTGCTGGTATCTACATTGGGCTCTACGCTGGAATGACGGCATTTCCGGCGGCCATGACGCCGCTGGGCGTGGGTATCGCCTTCGCAGTGCTCGGTCAAGCCACCAACTTCGGCGTGTTTGCGGCATTGGGGCCGAACGAAGATCTCTTTGGACCTGAAAATCGCGGCAAGGTAATGGCGTTGGAATTCGCAGCCTTCAGTGCCGGTGGTGCGCTGTTCGCTGAGCTTTACAAGCACTTTTTCGATGGAAATGTACCTCTGTACTTTCGCTTCATGGGGTGCTTGATGTTGACAGTGTTCTTGCTAGCATGGGTTACGCTATATCGACCTGCCAAAGACGATGCAACTCACACTATTGCGGCTGCTCCGCCCATTCACGCATTGGACGAATTCATGCCGCCAGAGACACCGGCTTTGAAGTCTTCATGTAGTGTTGACGTTGAAGAACATTGCCAGCTCTTCGCAGTGGCTCAACCTGACATCACCGGTCGCGATATTCTAACCGACTCGCGCTTCTGGTTGTTGTTTTCTACCGTATTCATATTGGTGGGATCTTCACTGTTTGTCATGGCAAACATTGCGTTTATTGTCGAGTCTCTTGGCGGTCCGATGGAGCAGGTCTCCACAATGGTAGCGCTCTTCTCTGTAGGCAACTGCTGCGGTCGTGTTGTTGCTGGTGTCATTTCCGACAGTGTGTTGCATCGTTTTCCTCGGATCTACTTTGTAAGTCTAGCGTCGGTCCTTGTGGGTGCCATCCACACACTTTTCCTGGTTATTCCGAGGGCGTATCTCGTCGTTCCCATTACGCTCTCAGGCATCGCTGACGGCGTCATGTTCGCCGCTTTTCCCGTGCTAACGCGCGAGACGTTCGGTGCGCGCCACTTCGGAAAGAACTTTGGCCTCATCAGCGTCGCAAATGCTGTAGGCTTTCCGTTGTTTTACAACCCCATAGGTTCATTCGTGTACAGTTTATCGGCCATGCCGGTGAATGGCGTCCAGAAGTGTCTTGGAGATGAGTGTTTCCAGCCTGTGTTCCTACTAGTGGTGGTATTGAGTGTGGTGTCGCTGGTAGCGAGTCTTAAATTTGCATCGCGTCAGCATTATGTTCGCTTATCGTAAAATACAGCAAAAGATACTGCAACTTAAGCTGGCTCGGCAATGTTCATTCTGCGGCAGAGGTACCTGTGTACCAATCCTACCATTTATCATTACCGGGTCTTGATGGCGTTGTCGCCGTTGCAGCTCCGCCGGTCGTGCAGCCTGCTTGCCGGCGTGTTGCTCATGCTCGGGGTGGGCTCGACCTACGCGCTATCAGCGTGGAATGCACAGCTGAAGACGCTTCTGCACTTCACACAAGCTGGGATCTCCACGGTCTCCGCTATGACCATGCTGGGCACGTACATGTCGTACATTCCTGGCGTCATCTTCGACCGACTGGGGCCGTACACGAGCGTTCTTTTAAGTGGGAGCGCCATGCTGGTTGTCCATCTCGCTATGTTTACTGCGCTGCAATTCGCACCGGAATGCGTTAGTCCACTGGGTATCGGCTGTGCCATGATGTTGTTCGGACTCCTCAGCTCCTTTTGCGTCTTCTCGTCTATCGTTCCCAATGAATCTTTGTTCGGAGATGCCAATCGTGGCAAGGTCATAGCAACGCTTACGTCGTCATACAGCTGTGGCGGTGCCTTCTTTGCGTTCGTCTTCCATGAGGGGTTCCACAGCACCGACGTACCGGGCTACTTCCTATTTGTCGGAAACTACCTACTAGCTGCTTGCGTGTTTGGTTGGTTTGTATTTGCCCGTCCACGGCATGAAGAAGAAAAGGACACGAAAAGGAGATCTGGAAGCATTGAGGTTGGTCTTGGGGCCACTAGCATGGAATCGAGTGGAGACGTGAATGGGTCTGCAGACAGCCAGACACCTGACGACATCACGGGCGTGACGTTGCTAACAGATATGCGGTTCTGGATGCTCTTCATTCCAGTGATGATCGTCATCGGCGCCGGCTTGCTCGTCATGTCCAACGTGTCGTTCATCGTGGAAGCTTTGGGTGGTCCTCTACATCAAGTCCCCTTCATGGTGGCACTGTTCTCCATCGTGAATACACTCGGTCGCCTTGTAACGGGAGCAGTCTCGGATCATCTGTTGGCGAAGTATCCACGTGCATATTTTGCTGCACTCTCGGTGGTTCTCACGGCTGTCACGCAGGTGGTTTTCCTGTCCGTGTCACCGACGTGGCTCGTACTGCCTGTGGCAATGGCTGGGTTCTCAGAGGGCGTCATGTTCGGCACCTTTCCGGTAGTCGTTCGCGAGGAGTTTGGTTTGCAGCACTTTGGCAAAAACTTTGGCCTCATTAGTATCGCTAATTGTGTCGGGTACCCGCTCTTCTTCAGCCCGCTGGCGTCGTACGTATACCAGCACTCGACAGCAACACGTACTGTTGATGGTGTCGAGAAGTGTTTCGGTACACAATGTTTTGCACCCGTTTTCGTCGTGGCCATCGCACTGTCCGTGGTGGCATTCGTTTGCTGTGTGCAACTCGCTCGATTGCAGCGACGCCGCAAGTTTTTTAGCTACCAACAGATTCGGCCGTAGCTGATAACTGTAAGCGAGGTGAAGCCCGCAGTAAATTATTGTATAGCTTTTGCAGACTGTGCGGTGCCTTCATTTTTCTCGTCTGAATACGGTAAGCACAGTCGGATGTATAAGCAGAAAGAAGCGCATTTTTCGAGGAGCACCACGCGAGTACAGTACACCGTACTCTGCAAGAACACAGCAAGCCCGTGTACGATATTTATCGCTGTTGCTCACAAGCAAACAAAAGCTCATTGAGCGACGATTACATTGATGAGCGCTGCTGACCATCCACGGTGCAATCAGGACCCATGAGCAAATCTGTCGGATCTTGAGATTCGTTTTGGCTTCAACCTTGCACCGTTACCGCGAGTCCGGTACACCAAAAACGCTCCTACATCACTGCAAGCACGTGTCACCAGCGACAAACCGCAGCATGAATGCCGCATTGCACTGGGCACTGCCCAGTGGTATCTATATGCACGGAAGTTAATTGCACGTGGGTGCTATTAATAGAAGTATCTCAAGATAATGAAAAGATTCTGACCAATAGCAAGCTTCTATTAAAAAGGTTTTAGCCAATGCGAGACAGGCACCGCCACTTATAGAGACATTCGAGCGGTGCATTGTTCAGTTCGCAATCCGCCAGTGATCAAATACCAGTCGGTATGAGCTCGGACGTGTTGACGCAGCAGACATCGGCCACGCAGCGCAAGTGCTCAGCATCTACTGCCACCGCCGCGTCCACCGTAGCGCAGGCGTGTCGCCAGGCCGTGGCAGAGCTCGAGAATTGGTCGCTCTGGGCCTATCGGGACGCGACGGGCGAGGAGTGGGATGCGCAGCCAGCTTGCTTCATCACTGACTACCTGCTGGCCGTGCAGTGCTTCGCCTTCGCCGTGTACATTGGACTTTTCGCTGCCACAGATAAGGGCGATCTGGCCTGGTATATCATGTACTTCATGGCGCTAGGCATCTCGGCGGCGCTTGGTGGCCTACTCCACCATGTTGCGTTCGAGGCCATGCGCGACATCGCGCACAAGCAAGAGAAGCATCTGGTGATGACAGCGCGTGTCTTCGGTGTCAACCTGAGTCGTGCTAATGTGGACAAGATGATCGAAGCTCTGTGGCGCGTTGTGCTGGCCTGTTCCACCCTCACCAACTTTGCGCTGCTGTCTCTGGCCGCGAGTCGACACCTGCCAGAGGCCTGGGCTTACTCTATCATTGTACTGGCTGCCGTGTTGTACGTGGTGTTGGCTGTCTGGGCCAGTGTCAGCATGCACGCGGTGTTCCTCTTCGCCGGCTTCATCCCCGTGATGCTCTTTGGCCCCATCGCTTGCTTCATGACGTGGAACTGGGAGTGGAGCCACACGAGTAACGAACTGCTCGTGTACGGCGTTAAGCTTCTGGGTGGCCTTATCCAGGGCCTCGTATGGGCTCCCAGCAAGGACAAATTCAACCACAACGCGCTCTCGCATGTGTTCCTCAGCATGGCGGCGACACTCATGCTCATTCACTTCAAGTTCTGACTGGATGAGCATAGCGACAAGTGCGCAACGTGCCAAAACTTGGTTTTATATAGGCACGTGCTCACAGTCAGCTCGTAATTATGAAAGTAGGGACAGAGGGGCAGAGTGGAGCAGAGGAAATTCTTTTAAGTGGTCAATTTGACGAGTTTTGGTGACGTATTGCCGATCTATTGTTTCAAAATGGTGCTACTTCAAGTAGCTGTTACGGTGAAAGTGCCCATTTACGACCCTATATTTAGAATGTGAATGAGTTGCCACAGTTGCCAAACAGGATTCTTAAAGTTGCCTTCACAGTGGTGATGCTGTTGTTTGGTGGGAATCTCTCGGGCGGGAAGAGAACTAGCGCAGCAGTAACTAAGGCTACCGGTCCTCCAGCTACGAAACATGGGTCCACCCTAGATGGAGACAGTCAGACTGATGTATTGACACCACATACGGATGCATTGCATCGTCTTACCAACCATGAATTACGGCTTCTGGAAGAGTTAGAGCGTACACGCTCCAAGTTACAAGCCGAGTGGAGGCTTAAAGTGGCTTGTCTACAGCGACAACACCCGGATGCAGTATCGACCGCTTTGAACAATGCTCGCGACGGAGTTATCCCCAGTGTCGAAGAACTCGAACAGCGCTTTCAGCTAGCAATGGGCACAACAAGCACGAAATTTCAGCAACGAATGGAGTTGCAACAAGCTATGCATTCCAAGACGCTGAAACTCTCTCCAAATCAACGATCCAAGGCGTTTTTGCGACACAAAAAGGCTCATGCAGCACCAGGTCCAACGTCATCGATATCTCCAAACGCTCGAACAGCGCTGGATATGCTGCCAGTGTTGACATCGACAGGAGAAACGCCATTTGAAGTTGGATTGGATGCTCAAATGGTACCAGGACAACGGCAACAATACGTTCTTCCAGTTTTCCGACTACCTTCCGTAAATGTGGCAAGTACAGCAAGTGCAATGGCAGCTAAAGAGATACAAGTAATCAAACAAGACGTCGATCGGAAACAAGCAAGTGAGACGCTGGGAATGTCACTGGAGGAAATCGAAGCCCTCGAAGCCGAGCTCAACGGACAAAGCGGCAGTGCCGTACCTCGCCAGCCGACTCAATCATCTCTTGAAGAACGGAGACTCCCTGGTCTAGCACGAAGCAATAAAAAACGTCAACAGTTGCGTGTAAACAAACGAAAGCGTGTTGGTCGCTCAACGCAAAACACAGCAACACGTGATGCAGCAGATAATGGTGCATTACGCAAAGAATTGGAGTCTGCGCTACACAACGTGCAGCATCTCACGCGGTTAGTGAAAGACGACATTTGCTGGGCACAGAAGATCTGTCCTGCATCGGAGCTACGTACGACGCTCTACTTTAAACGTTGGGGGCGAGACAAAGTGGAGAATATATTCCGTCGATTACTGTACAACCTCCAAGGTCTGGCCTTGGAGCGCTGGAAACAAGCTGTCGCGTGTGAGAAGCAGCAGGAAAAGCTTCAAGCGTATTTACTGTACAAAGGGAGTAAGAAACTCGATGCGTTCATAGTGAATAATTCGCAACGCAAAATGCGTCAAGCGTGGACGAAGTGGTGGTCCGATGTAGCTCACGAGAAGGCTCTGGAGCGCTCGGCACTTGAGTTGCAAGCCATTCAAGTCATTCAACGCTCGTACCGCGTCTATCGTGGTCGTATGTTTGCTTCTCTTATGAGGAGACAGAAGATCATTGCAAAGCAGACAAGTGCGGCGATTGAGATGCAGCGGATGTTCCGTAAAGGTATCGCACGGAAGTTCTTAAAACTCAAGCGAATCGACAAACATCGTCAAGCCATGGCAACGCGTATCCAAGCTCTGGCACGAGGGTATATCGACCGAAACCGAGTCCAACAGATGCGCGATCAGTGGAAGAAAAACGTCGTTGCTAGTCGTCTTCAGGCCATGTATCGAGGACGCAAGGCTCGTCGTGAACTTGCAATGCTTCGAAGCACCCAGCATCTAACCAAGGCAGCGGTGATCATTCAACGCAGATACCGAGGTCGTCTCGGACGTGCTGCGTTCATTCGACGGCGTCTAGATCGAATGCGCGACGTTGCTGCAACGAGGATCCAGACCATGGGTCGAGGATGGCGTGCTCGTAAGAAAGTAGCTATTTTGCGTGAGGAAGAACGCAAACGACAAGCCATTCGTCGAGCTGCAGCGATCAATATTCAACGAGTATATCGAGGACACCGGTGCGTACTTAGTCTCTTGTGAAAGGTAGAGCCTGAACTGACATCATGACTCTGTGTTCTAGTGCTCGTCTATCGACGGAGCTTAAGTTGATGGCGTTGCGTGAGAGAAATCGCATGTATGCTCAAGCCGCTACCAAAATCCAGAAGATGGTGCGCAGGCGTCAAGCTGTTAAACGTGTGGAGCGGCGTCGCGAGGAGCGAGTAGTAAGGCTCATGCTCCAGGCCCAAATATGGATAGAATACTGGAACGATGACGCTGCCAAGTGGTTTTACTACAACCAAGAGGTAGGCACTACTGTAATGTACGAGGAATGACGTGCATTTGTGTACTCATATCTCATGAATTCATAGACTGGTGAGGCTCTGTGGGCGCCTCCTGCGACGGGATACACAAAGGCAGATGGCGAACTGGTGCTGCAGGACGGCAAGGTTATTGATCCATCCGAAGCCGACGTCGAAAGTATCTTGGCAACTCGGAAGGCACCTACGTTGACTAATGGTGCAACTGGAGAGATCGTGGGCTCTAAGGATCATCAGGAAGAAGAGGAAGACACCGATGACGAGGACAAACTATGCGTCGAATGTGAGGAAGAAGGTGCCAGGCGACAGTGTGCTCAGTGCGAGGACGTCTTCTGCGATGCTTGCTACGAAAAGTTGCATCACTCGGCCAAACGTGAAAGCCACACGTGGAAAGCTATTGGCTCTCTGCGCTGTATCGAGTGTGAGAAAATGCGTGCAACGCGGTGGTGCGCGGTCTGTGAAGATCCGTACTGTTTGGGCTGCTTTACTATTATCCACTCGAAGGGAAATAAGGTCAACCACCAGTGGACCGACATGGCGACGTTCAAGAAGACACGAAAGCAGCAAATGACTCGAGAAGAGGAGAGCGCGCAGACTTATGACGAGTATGTCCAGTCGAGCGAGTACCAATACGTCACGGAGTACGCAGAGGCAGAAGCGGCTCGAGAGGCTCAAGAAGCTCAAGCTTATGCTCAAGCATACAGCCAGGAGATCGCCGTACCGACTGCAACTGCGGACTATAATGGCTGGATGACGCTGGTGGATGAGACCTCGGGTCAATCTTACTACTACAACGTCCACACAGGGGAATCTCAGTGGGCACAATGAACAAAATGCGACGGGAACTCCGTTAGGCCCTCGGCATATTATCGTTTTGTAAACTTGTTCCTATCTTGCGCAAGTTCCTGTAGGGAGAAATCAGCGAGCACAAAAAATGTTGACACTCGGATGGAAATTGGGGATGAAGACTGAGATGACGATGATATGGGGTGTCTGTAGGTGATCTTAGTGCGACGATCGATCTCAATGATTGAACCAAGTCCGAACGATTCACAGCCATGTTCACTAACGAAAATGAAATTAGCGCTGCTGATACGACAATGTTAAATTGTTGTATCAGCTGCCAGCAGAGCAAATTCACAAGTCTGTGGATGCGATAATCAAGCCGGAATGAATTGTTTCAGGTGACTGGCGAACATAGAGACCCTTGCAAGGAGGTAAACTTATATTACGTTTTAAAACTTCTTTGCAGCTCGACGACTGTACTTCGTAGTTCCACCAGACAAGGTCACTATACCCATTCTCCCTTTCAATAGCTTGGCATTAAATGTCAAGCTATTGGAAGGGAGAATATGTAGATCCAAACGGCAAGAAATATTGCACCTGACTCAAGCACGGTCCGTCATGAAAATGTTGGCCCGAACTCTGTCCCTGCTCAGACATGCTTCGAGTGGTTTTCGTGATGGTGATACCAAGGTTTCTCCGTCTTGGCTTGCAAGATATCGAACCATTTATATTTGTTAAAAGATACATTATTGATCTAAAGTTTGTAAAAAAAAATATCATCCAAAAATGCTCATCTTTTTAAAAGTTGAGCTGAAAGTATGCGTGGCCGCGGATGACACGAACAGATTCGAAACTTTCGACTTGAATTCACCCACATGGATCGTTGATAAAAAGAGTGCGTGGTGCCCAATAAGTATATTGCGCAGGTTGCTGTGAAAGGATAAATAAGAGCTGAGACTTGCTGTGCGCTCTCTCATGCTTAATTAGACACTTGAAGACGCTACACTTCGACGTCGAAGCGCATTCGGTTGCTTCGTGTTCCGTAGGCACGAGTGTCGAGACGCATCCTTCTTAGCTCGGTCGGGTCAATAGTCCGCACAAACAGAGCACCCGTAGACAGACGCGTCTGACCGGGAGGTGTGTCGTTCGGGCCATACACTTGCTTCCAAGCGCCCCCGTTCCTAGCCCGATTTGAGCCAAATACGTCCGATGACGTCGTCGACAAGAAGGTATAATCCATACTTCTGTACGAGTCAACTTCGTCCCAATGTGTGGACAAGAACACATCATCGGCTTCGGAGCCGAAGCTGTATTCCGTAGAGACTGGCGACTCGAGCATGCCGATAGAATAGTCGTCTGTGTGCGAACTTTGACTGTAGTCGCTGGCTGGGTGGCTATCAGTCAGCCCACGCCCTCGAGCTGGCGTATAGATAAGCATCGGCACCGCTGGTCGCGTATGTCTGCTGCTGAGAGGAGCGACACTGTACGAGCTGGCTTCAGCCCAGGAAGGTTTGAGCTCGTGCTGATTGGCCTCCTCAATCTTGCGGTGAAGAGCGTTGTCGCCCAGCACAGGAACGACCGACCCGCTCGAGTCAATTTCCACGTGGTCACTATGTCCTGCCTCCGGAACGGCAAACGTCGTGCGTTTCATGCAAAAGCGCGAGTTTTCAGGCGGTTGATGGACATTACATTCACTCTGACCAGGGTCGGACCTGCCACGCCGTAGCACAACCAGAAGAATAACGAGACCCACAAGGACGATTAATCCGACTGTAACGATGATGATGGAAGTGCTGGGAAAGCTGCTGTCCGAGCTATCGTCCGAGATCGAAGGCTGCATGGTCAAGTCTTCTTGTTCCTGGTGCTTCTCGACTGGGGCCACGGTAACGTCAACATCGATGCTGCTACCGTCAAGTGAGTCTAGCCGTCGGAAGACGCGGTGACCATAGCCATCGACGACATCTATTGCCTCCATTAACCCGCACAACAATGTTGCAACTAGCAGCAGCAAAGCTCGATTCTGTCGTAAGTCACGACGTGACATCCTTGCCTCGTCGACTCGAGATTGAGAAATAGGGCTGCATGGCATGAACAATCTAGCGTAGCTCCTGCCACACCCCACACTTGTCACCAGATTTCTATGCTGTTCCGCGGATCCATCGCCGTCGATAGTGGGCTCCTCTCGCCATCCGCATCTTCGGGTCTCTGCCAAAAAAACGAGTTGAGTTGAAGCAAAACTTGGTACCCTGTACCCATTTCAAACAGAGACCATCACTCCTTCAATTGTTCTCGATTCCGCACTGAGAAGAAAAAGCTCGCCGTGATGGCATCATCGGCGGCTCGCGTCGGCTCGGAGTTGCCTCCGTTCGACTCGGAAGATGCTTTTGCTGTGGCATTACGAATCGACAGCTCCTCGTTGCGCTCTGGTGAAGCCCCAGACATCTTCGTGTCGCTGTACGACGACCCACGAGTGCACGTAGATGTAGCTGAGGACTTGACGTTGTTGCTGGGCTTCGAGCGCAAGATCTACAGTGTAGGTGTGCAGGAGGATATGGAGAATAATGGCCAAACGACAGCCTCGCTCTGTGTCATCGTAGATGCTGATAGTATTCACTTGGAGGAGGACGAGCAGGTTGCAGACGTCAAGTGGCTTGACCGCGAGCGCTTTTGCGCCGGCTACACGTCGGGCATCGTGCGCATTTTCAACCGCGTGGGGAAGCTTCTATTCGAGCAGAAGCTGCACGGCGCAACAGTACACAAACTGGACGTGAATCGCAACGCAGCCACGATAACGGCTCCACGCCGAGCTAGCGTCTTGCTATCAAGCGAGCCAGACATGGAAGGAGAGCTCTGGGTACTATACACAGACTCTACCGTGGCTATCATCCAAATTTCAGAGATTTTAGCCAAACTAAACTCCGTATTCGGGCCGGCACAAGCCAGTAAGTTCCGGAAATACTCGCTACGAGAACAGAAAGATATCGTTGCTGCTATCCCATGTGGGCCCGTGCGACCCACGATTTTCCAGTCGCATTCGCGTCTTGGCGTGTATACAATCATAAGCGCAGGCTCTGCGCCTTTCCTCGCGTTTTATCAGGCTGGAAATGACCAGAATTCCATCATCCACTTGGCTCATATCGCTACAGCCATTGCATCGAGAGCCGCTGGAGCTGTCTGGAACTTTGCAACTAGTTGGGGGTGGAGACGAGACGCAGGAGAGGGTGCAACTGGAGAGGCAGGACACACCGAGTACACTCAGCTTGGCTCAGGTGCAATTGATGCCGCAGCAGAGCATGTACCAGCACCAATAGGCACTACGCGATCGATCTATGAAGATGAGCGACGACGCTGCAGAGTTCTCGTATTGAGTCCGACAGGCAGGTTGGCAGCTGTATCAGACACGCTAGGACGGATTCTACTGGTAGATACTGCACGTATGCTCGTGATTCGCATGTGGAAGGGTTATCGGAATGCGCAGGTGGGCTGGATGCAAGGATCGGACGGTGCTCGTCGACCCCCTGGACTCTACTTGGTCATCTACTCTGCCCAACGTGGCATTGTGGAGGTATGGCGTGCACGGTATGGCCCCAGGGTTTTCAGTTTTGCGGTGGGCAACTGTGCTAAACTCTTCACGCAGTTTGACCCTGTGACTAGAAGAACAAAGTGTGTCGTCTTGTGTGCAACGAGCGACCATGTGTCGGAACTGATTGAGCTGAAGCCAGGACTGCCCAACGCGTCGATTTTGATGAAATATTTTACGCAAAACAAGCTCCAAGAAGAGAATTTCCTCCTGCATCAGGTGATTGGCGGTCTTCAAGCGTTCGTGAAGAAAAAACGTGTCGATGCTACGCATACACTGGAGCAGGACTCGCTGGAGCCTTTGCTAGAGGATATCGGCAGTCTGTCGTCGTCAACAACGATCCAGACACTGCTCGACGTTCTCCTTAATGCAGACATGGCGTTGCTGAACGCAAGTTTCTTGCTTAAAGCGCTGGAAAAGCTACAGCTGGTACGTCAGCGTTTGCTATACTTCGAATTAACAATCTCTTTGTCCTCTAACTCGTGTGTTTACAGGCGTTGAAAAGCGGAATGTCTTCTAGGACACCGACTGGGGTAGAACTATCGCTCCAGTGGAAACTTCTTTGGCAGCATCGCCTTGTGTCTTCATTTATAGGGTTCCAGGCCGTAGTGTACTTTGCTGTGCAGTATTTACCCTCTGTCTTTGTTGGATTTATGCTGATTATGTTCCACTGCGTGCAGGAATTTGAGCGAGGCAAACATGCGCTAGTATCGATGATCCAGACCTCAACAAGAGACATTATTTCGCGAGCGAGTACAAAAAAACACGAGTCTGGCCCACCACCGCGTGTGTTACCGTGGTTAGAGTTGTTTCGTAGGGCTGGTCTCGCTCTGGATGACGAATTGTGTAGCCGCACGCGAACAGCGATGGATAGTGCCAGCCAGCTCACGGCCTGGGAGTTTATGGAGTTTTTCTCCATGCCGTTCAATGACCCTGACTTGCCTCGGCGACGCGATATTCTGTCGCTCTTTGAAGTTGCGGAGACCAAGGAAGAGTTCCTGCGTGACACTTTCCGCGTGTTGAAGACCTCGATCTTTCGCAAGTTTTCGACTACTGCTCAGAGGGACTGCTTGCTTACGTTTATTCTCGCTCCAGTGCTATCGAGTGTCTTCGCCGTTCAGGTACGAATGGGTTTTCTTATGTTTTCGGTCTCTACTTTGTGTATAATCTTTTTTTTTACTTTAGGAGTTGCAACAACTTCATTCAGCCATTTTCTTGACGGAAGACATGCTCACCAGACTATTTATTGAGTGGTACTTCTCACTACCTCTTGGCGGTATACTCGCTCTTCCTCCACCTTCCATGTCGTCGTCGCTTCAGCGCTGGCTACAGCCGTATTTTGTCATCTCTGACGTTGAGACTGGGATTCAAGAAGAAGGCGAAGACAATGCGAAAACTTCATTTGTGTCGACAGAATCCTATCTCCGACGCTTACGTGGCTGCCCCTCGTCGCTGGTGGCGATATTTAACTCGTGCTGGAAGACCCCGAAGCTGTTTCACGGATTTGTGTTGAGCGAGCACTGTGGATGGGGTGAGAAACAATCGGCGAAGCATGCTGAAGAAGACACATTCGGAAAGTATAGCAGTGTTGGTAGTGGAGCACGCTGGGTGATTCTACAGGACTGCATTGCCAAAACGGTGCACCTGTCGTTGCGTCTTGGAAAAGTCGGTCGCTTATCTGTGGACGCGGTGGAACACGTGGATGATATCATGCGGAGTATTGCTGTCATGCAGATCAATGATGGCCATGAGCCTGGCGAAGATGATGCTGCTGTACAACTGCCCAAAGACCATGTCGAGGTAAGTGTGGGTGATGACGGTACGGACGGTTGGGTTGCGACGATGGAGAATTGTCGAAAGGCTGCACAAATGAAGGATTGGGCTGCCGTACTTGGCGCATATCCTCAATTTGCGAACAAGGATGCGCTGTGCTGCTTCCGAGTAGGAATCCTGTGTGCAGCTTGGAACGCGGAGCGATCGGACATGCGACAGCTGGAGGACGCGCTGCTGGAACTGGATTGTGTGGTGTCGCTACAAGTGAAAGCGGCCATGGCGGCGTACATTTGGGAGCGATACATCCGTGTGCATGTAGTGACACTGATCACGTTTTGGGAGGAGAGTGCAGCTGGTCGGAAGCCGCAACGGGGTCTTCAGCCACAAGTCGCTCGCCGCTTCTTCTGCATTATCCGAAACCTGCTTGTCATGTTGTTTAATGCAGTGAAAGCGGTAGCAGCGGTTCGAGTCGTGGCAACTGAGTATGAGGCTGAAAGCGACTATGACGATGAAACTAGCGATGCAGATGTCGAATCGGATGATGATGACGAGAGTATGTCTCGAATCGCCGTGTTTAAGATGGAAAGCTTGACTCAGTCAATCAAATGGCGTTGTCGCGTGAAAGATCTCCACTTGGTGTATCGACAAAGGTGGCCCCCTGCACACGATATGTCCACTCTCATGCAAGCACTACAAGGCTTCAAGCTTGACATGGTCTCTGTTGCACAGATCGCTGATCACATCAGTTTGGTTATGCTGCTCGATTCGTTTGCTGCAACGTCAGTGACGCCGATCTCGATTGTGAAGTTGTTCTCCAACAGTGGCCGATATTTGTGCCGACCCGACAGTTTTCTGACGACTCAACAACTTGCTCAGCCGAGCGAAGTGGAGACGACGTCTGTTACTCGAGACCGTACCAGATTTCTGAAGGAGCTTCTTCGACATGACGAAACGTTGGGCTTTGCGCTTGCTGAAGCATTTGGCCTCCCGTTGGAGGTAATTCGAGAAGAGTACGTCGTGTTCTTGTATCAATCTGGACGGGACGAACGGGCCGATCTAGCGATTGAGAAGATGCAGAGACCAGAGCAATTGGTGCTTAAGCTTGGGGCTATTGCACGAGCTAGACTATCGCTTATTTTGAGGCGGATGAAGACCGAAGCGGAATTTGCTGCGGTGATGAGTATGCTGCCTGCTGACACGTTTTCTTGGGTCATCAGCGATACTAAAGCACCTCTTGTGGCTGACCCACTAGTCGAAAAGCTCGATCTTACGCCTTCGCTTACTTCTACGCACTATTTGCTGCTCAAGTGTTTGGCCATGATCTCACCCACGGGTGAGGAGTTTGAGAAGGTATCTGCCATGTCTGTATTGGTAAAGGACGTCATTAGTCAAGTAAAGCTGCATCATAGAGCTACTGGATGCAACTGAAGTTTATTGAGCTACGGCGATAGCACGCGACAGCTGAAGCGATACATCAAGAAACAAAGTTACAGTGAAATTAAGCATTTGGAGTGAGATCTGCGAGAACTGCTTTGGAGTGACTCTGTTTGTTTGAGCCCTTTAATTTATTAAGATTGACAGTGAACTATAAAGCGCCTCAATGTGGAATTATCCCATTTTGGCTTACTTTACTTTGTTGGAAATGCTAGGTAAAGATTATCTGTCGTCCCAGATCTTTTAAGGGCCATCAATCCTTTAGGCTCAGGAAAAAGAAAATGGAAGAGAACTTAAAATAAACTTAAACACTAAAAAAAACGTCGAATGACGGGTGTAATGTGTTGAGCACTTAATTTCAATCTAACCGCAGGAAATATATCGGTAAGTATGCAATCCTCGCTTTTGATGTGGTACACCATAAAAATGGGACACGTGCTTCTTCGCCATAGTCTATCGCGCACTATTTAGTCGACGCCATGGTGCACAGCAGCAAGTACGACCTGCTTATTAAGCTCCTGCTGATTGGAGACAGCGGTGCGTTACAGCGCAGTGCGCGACATCCTCCTCCTCTTGCCCAAGTCTTTTAACATCCTTTCTCTTTTTGTGCTGCTGTTTAGGCGTGGGGAAGAGTTGCGTTCTTCTGCGTTACTCTGACGATTCGTTCACGACATCTTTCATCACCACTATCGGGTGCGGGATAAATTGTATTTCATGTTTCATACTATACGCAGCGTGTATATAAACTAATATTGTGCCTTGGACGCCAATAACAGAATCGACTTTAAGGTTAAGACCATTGATGTGGACGGCAAGCGGATAAAGCTGCAGATCTGGGATACCGCCGGCCAGGAGCGCTTCCGAACCATCACCACCGGTATATGCGGCTATAAGCTGAAACGTTTTTTTAGCATCGGTATTAAACTGTGATGTTTCTAATGACACTAGCTTATTATCGCGGCGCGATGGGGATCCTAATGGTATACGACGTGACAGACGACCACTCCTTCCAGAGTACGCTCGCTGCTAACAGTCCATTCCCAGCTATTGATACAAGCTTGTGTTTTCTTTTCTAATTCTTAATTTCTGTACAGACATTCGCAACTGGATGACACAAATTCGACAAAACGCATCGTCTAACGTCAACAAGATTCTGATTGGCAACAAATGTGATGTGGATCCGTCCGAAAGAGTGCGTTGACGAAGTCCTTTTCAACTTGTTTTTCATAGTTGACTAAACGTCACGATGGCTGGTCTCAGGCGGTGACAACGAAGCAAGGTCAGGATTTGGCAGACGAGTTCGGCATCAAGTTCTTCGAGACGAGCGCCAAGAGCAACGAGAACATCGACGAGGCCTTCCGCTCGATTGCAGTGGACATCCAGAAGCGGCTGGCAGAAAGCGAGCACGATAGATTAGACGTGGCCAACGGCAGCAAGTTCCGAGTGGACGAGTCGCAGGACCAGACCAAAGACGGCTGCTGCGCGTGATTGCCGCCTTGTAGTTCGTTGTCGTAGCGTCCAGAGTCGTGTCCACGTCTTTACAGCACGACGCAGCCTTGCCCTGGATGCGATAAGCTTATCATACACATTTCTCCTTCGTAATCAGGATAATGTAGCCATTTTATCAATTTTTAGAAATTCTTAAATAAGATAATGTAGCCATTTGAGATAATAATTCAGTGGCTGGTGGAGATTGGATTATTTTACCTGTAACGATGGCGGAGCAGCGCGAGGACGGCGACGGCGAGACGTGGGACGACTGGGTGGACGACGGATCCGCCAGCTTTGACTGCGTGTTCTGCGCCAGCAAATTTCCTGCCGAGGAGTCGCTGCACGCGCATCTGCAGGAGACGCACGACTTCTCGTTGCGCCACGAGATCTCGACACGGAAGCTGGACACGTATGGCACCATCCAGCTAGTCAACTATCTGCGCTGGAACACGCTGGACGGAGTGTCAGCTGACCAAATCAAGCAGACGCTGGCTGCGGAGGGCAACGCCGCGTTCCAGAAGGACGAGTTCCTAAAACCCGTGGTGGCCGACGACCCGCTGCTCTACTGTCTCGACTGCGATAGCAGTGACGACGAGGATGAGAGCAATGTAGAGGAGGAACAGAAGAATGAAAATCCTGGAGATGACGTCGCAGCTCTGATTGAGAAGCTACAGCTAGAGAACCAAGAGCTTAAGCAGCAGATGACCAAATACTCCAAACTCGTCCGGGACTTTGTAGTCGATGGAGAGAGCTCCGCTCCGGTGGAGGACGCTGCTGATAACGACACGTACTACTTTGATTCGTACTCGCAGGTGGGTATCCACCGCGAGATGATCACGGACAGAGTGCGCACTGATGGCTACCGTAACGCCATCATCAACAACCCGCAGGTGTTTAAGGACAAGGTGGTGCTCGATGTGGGCTGCGGTACAGGCATTCTGAGTATGTTTGCAGCCCAGGCTGGCGCTGCTAAAGTAATCGGCATCGACCGCAGCGAGATGGGAGACGTGGCTCGTGAGATCGTGGCTGCTAATGGGTTCAGCGACGTCATCACTATTCTACGCGGCAAAGTGGAGGAGATCGAGCTGCCAGTGGACACGGTGGACATCATTGTGTCCGAGTGGATGGGGTACTGTCTACTGTATGAATCCATGCTGGACACGGTTCTATTCGCACGTGACAAGTGGCTAGCTGAAGGGGGACACTTGTTCCCGGACAAGTGTTCCATGTTCATTCAAGGTATGGAGGACTCGACAAAGCGCTTTGACTTCTGGAACGACGTCTACGGCTTCAATATGAAGCCAATCCAGTCCAAGATTTCCATCCGTGACGCCTTCGTGGAGGATGTTGGTCCGGATGATATCATTTCGAGCCGTGAGCTGCTGCAGAAGATCGACATTGACCTTGTTAAGTACGACGAGCTCGACTTCCACTCGACCTTTACGTTGTCGATCACGAGAGATGCGACCATGCACGGCTTCGTGTCCAGCTTCGACATTGGCTTCGAGCGTGACTGTCCTCGCCCCGAGTACTTCACTACTGGAGCTGAGGGCACGCCGACACACTGGCACCAGGTTTTCTTCCACGTCCCGCACCCTTTCTCGGTTAAGCAAGGAGATGTTGTAGAAGGCAAGTGGTGGGTGCGACGGAACGCGGAGAACCCGCGCTTCCTTGACGTTGAGATCCAGTGGAAAGAAACACCCAAAGGCGAGTTCCTCGTCCAACGTTACCGCATTCACTAGAAGTTTAGAGAATAGGAACGCTACAGTCATTTGAATTTGAGTTTCTTTTTCACATTTATGATATATTTCCAGCGAATATCACACAGAGGATTGACGATTTCTCGCACCATTTCGCTCGTTTCTCATGTGTCGAATGGGTACGAGGTCAACACGTCGATCCTGTGACCTTTCCGTTGAGTAGGGTTGAAATGGGCGTGTTTGAAATCGCTCGCAGTGTTTAACATCTTCTCCATGCGCTTCTTTCGCTTCTAGTCGTGTTTCCGATAGCTGAGGCCCTCCAACGACTTCATCAGAATTAAATGAGCGACACTCTCGTCTGCCAGGGAACCCGAAAAAATAATATGCGTAAAAATTAATCCTAATTTTTTAATTTAATTATTAATTTATGGCTGTCCACAACGGGAACAACCCCAATTTTGAGTAAGGTCTAGTCAAGTTACAGCGTGGGGGTGCGCTGAACGTCGCGGAAAAATTAGCCTGCGCTGAATTTAGGTCGCCTGATCTCGAACGGTCGTCTTCAAGAGCCGCCGAGAGCGTTCTATTGTGAGAGCGGCGTACAAGAAACGCAATTGCGCTGCGTCGACGTCGCGTACATCCCGCCAACGTCTAACGAGTGTGAGCGCTTCTTCTCTCTCGCTAAGCTGGTGCTGTCTGATCTACGGAAGCGAATGTCTCCAGCCAGGCTCGAGATGATAATGTTTCTGAACTACAATCGTGACTTGCGAAGTTTTGCAAATAATTGAATTATTAATTTTCTCAGTTCACATCGATGTATTAATTAAAGTATTGCATTTTCGGGTTCCCGACGTCTGGCATAGCGTCCAGGTGCTCGAAATAATAAATGTAGTGAAAATCCAATACAATATTTTCCAATTTAAATAGCTTATTTTCCTAAATCTAAAACTCCTACAAATGCGTAGTTTACCGGTTTTAACCGGTACGGTCTATCTAACTATTTACAGTGCACCTTTTTACGATGTCGTCCAGCGCCACCATTGTGTAGTATTTACACCACAGACTCCCTGTTACTTTGAATGGTACAGGGCAATCACCAGCACGACCTTGTATCTGCGAATTCTCACTTTTAAAGTAACCATGACCCTCTCAACATCGTTTAAGACCAAGCAAATCTGCAGCTACTTTTTCAAATCACTTCTCGACGAGCAAGATGAGCCGACCAAGCACTATCGCTCCCAGTGTGGCACCATTCGCAAGCAAGACGTCAAGACTGGCTACTCCAATCTCATCAGTCACGTCCTAAAGCAGCACCCAGACCGTCTTCAGAAGAGCCAACCTGTTTACTCTTGGCTTGACTTAACTGTGCAATGCAGCCTCCCTTTCTCCTTCTGTGAGGATCGTACTGTCGACAAGTACCCGTCGTTGGAGAGGATTTTGACTGAAACGCTGCTCAAATACGCTCTTTAGTGACTCAAGGGGTTGAAACCGCGATCTGTGACTTCATTCCCTCCACTTTTGGCATTATGTTGGACGGATGCACTTTTATGTCGGAGCATTATGTTGCTGTGTTTGGCGTGTTTGGTCACGATGGACGTTCCGAGAAAGTTCTGCTGGCGAAGACGAAGAGGCAGTTGATCAGACTGCTGCAAACCATGTCACGTTTCTTCAAGGGATACTGCCATTCTTTAAGCGCAACCTGGCTAGCATAGCATATGTTGTGGGTGACAATTGCTCAGTCTACACCAAACTTGCTGATTTGCTGCAGGTGCCGTTCATCGGTTGTGCCAGCCACCGGCTAAACTTAGCTGTAAATTTGTATCTTTCACCAGCTTCAGTTGCTTATGCAGAAGTTGCGGAGTCTGAACAAGGCGGCTTCATTAAGGTAAAGTTGCGCTAGCATTGATTATGTTTCCCGAATGTTGCGATAAAACTGGCAAGTTTAAATATTTACTAAAATAGTTTTGGTGTAAATATAGGTAAACAAACTCATTTGCGACCAGTACTTCGCCATGCGACGAGATGAAGCTCAACGTTTTGGATGATTGACCGGTACCTCAAGATTCGCGCCGCCCTCGACACCGACGACGACGACATCGTCTCGCTGATGCCGACGCGTCGCCAGGAAAAGTGTCTTAGGGATCCTTTTTGCGAGCTTGGGGATTTCTAGTCCTCCACTATGAAATTACAAGAAGAAAAGTTGACTCTTCCCGATGTTCGAGACAACTTTGACGCGCTTGTCGAAAAGCACCCTGTCACCTCTAAGTATCTTGCGGTAGATGCGACCATTGTGAAAGAATCCTGCGTTCGAAGATGCGTGCGTATTGTCGCTGGCGGGGAGGGTTGGCGAGCTGACCGGAGAACCAAGAGCATCATGCTGCATCCATTTCGAGGACGACACCGGCCATTGCTACCCACCGGCATGCGACGAAACCAAACGTGTGAGGGGCAGGACTTTTGCTACTTCATGTATCGGCCTGCGAAGAAGAAGCAAGAGGAACGGCGCTTGCAAAGGAATTTGCTGAGATTCAGGTTTTTATTTCCTT